AATTTGAATCTAAAGTGAATCATCTAAATGGGTAAGGATGGTTAAAAGATGTTCCCAGGGGCTAGTGGCTCCAGGATGGTGTCTGGCAGTATTTTTGCCTGTGGCAGGGTCAGTGGAAGTTTCCTAACCCAGCTTAGATGTGACCTCCTTGTGGTTGCTGCTGTCTGATTGCTCTTGGTTCTTGCCTGTTTTTTTAGCCTGGTTCTTCAGTCTTCCTGTTGATTCTATGAGCTATTTGATAGTCTGCCAATAAATTCCTTTCCTGCTAAAATTAGCCAGTCAGTTTCTATTGCTTGTGACCAAAAACCTCATCTCTATACTGCTTTGCTCAAAGTGCTTTTTGCTAACTGAATAAGCAGTTGTGGAATGACCAACTGGCTACCATTTTTCACACCTTGCCCAAGTATGTTTTCTTTGGGACCATATCCCTGATTTTCTTTGATATAAGAAAATAGAACACTTATTTTTATGAACTATCAATGAACATTTTCTGAAATGTGCATGTTCTATAAGACAAGTGATACCAATGAAACATTCACAGTGCAGCACGAGAGTAGGGGGCCTCTGGCTCAATCACGTGATGGTCGGGGAAGCAAACACAGGATTGAAATCTCTAAACCCATCCTAAGCCAAATCCCTTCTCCTAAGGGAAGGTCAGCGTGTGTTTCAGCCTGGGATTTGTTCGCTGAGCCTTATCCGTAGTGAAACCCGAGGTGGCAAGGCTCCCAAAGGCTTTCCTCGGCCCTATAAGCTTATGCTCAAGCCTCAGGTTGTGAAGATGTGCTGAGAAGGCTGCAGGGATCTGTTGGCTAAAGGGATCTGAGGCTTGAACATTGTTCTCCTCTAGGAATATGGGAAGTTTTTGTTGCTTCATTTTCTTTCTTCTTCCTTTTTATTCTCTGCCCTTTCCCACAGCACTATAATCTATTTTTAAAGGTTTTGATGATTTTTTTGTTTTAATTTTCTGTCTTATCATTTTATTGCATTTATTTATGAAAAGTTTTATCTCTGATTATTTGACCATTAGTTTACATTTTATCTTCTCAATAATATTTTTATAGAAAATTATTAGTATATTGATAGTATTTATAAATTTGGTAATTTAAGAAAAGTTTTTCAAAGTGGATCTAAAAAGGCTGAATGTTTCTCTCTGAGATTTACTGATTGTAATTGAAAATACTGTTGCTGGGTAAAGCTTGCCAAGCGTCAGAGGAATAATGCTGTTACATGTAATTTACATATAAGTCACATATTATCTCCCTATAATTTATTTGTAGTTATTTTCACTGCTGTTATCATTTGGTACTCAGAATAGCAATCTATAATAGTGTTTCCAAAAGCATCTAGGAAATTTTCCATCTTGCATGCATATAACATTTAAATTTAACTTTCACGTGGTTCTTAGGTATTATGTTTTAGAATAACACTGTACAGTTCTGTGGTTGTTTTGCTATTAAAGCATTCTTAACTGATTTCCATATCAATTGATTCTATGCCTTGTAATGTAAATAACCCCTAAAGATACAGTAAACTAGTGTTTGCTCTTTAGTAGACAGCTCTAACAGTGACTTTTTCAAAGATGTAGGAAGGCATATCAACATTATCAATATCAGTGCCTTCCAGATTGTGTACATATCTTTCTTCGTGGGAAAGCTTTGGTTGATTTAGCCTTTAACCTTCCTCCAACAACCAGATCTGCACATCCTCATAAAATGCTCAGGCTGAAGATTTTTCTGCTTATTTGTCTGGGGTCTTGCTGACTAAAGACTCCAAACTCCACTGAGGTAGGGGCAGTGCTGTCATGTTCATCGTATTTCCAGCACCCAGCACAGTGCCTGGCATATGCTAGATGCTTGATAAGTTTGTGACAAGAAGGGATGAATGTTAACAGGCTTACCAGTTTCCATTTTCCACAGAGAGAGACACTACATGTAGACCTACTGTTACGGTTAATTTTATGTGTCAGCTTGACTGGGCTAAGAAGATGCCCAGATAGCTGATAAACCATGATTTCTGGGTGTGTCTGTAAAGGTGTTTCTGGAAGAGATTAGCATTTGAATCCACAGACTGAATAAAGAAGATCGCCCTCACCAATGTGGGTGGGCACCATCCAATCCCTTGAGGGCCTGAAGAGAACAAAAAGGTAGAGGAAGGGCAAATTTGTTCTCCGCTGGAGCTGGGACATTCATCTTCTCCTTGGCCATGAGCTCCCCAGTTTTCGGGCCTTTGGACTTAGACTGGGACTTATACCATTGGCTCCCCTGGTTCCAGGCTTCAGATTTGGACCTGAAATACTTGAGTCGGACTTCCTGAGCCTCCAGCTTGCAGATAGTAGATCCTGGGACTTCTCAGCCTCCATAATCCTGTGAATCAACCCTCACAATGAATCTCTTTCTACATATCTGTGTCTATCCTTTGGTTCTGTTTCTCTAGAAAACCCTGGCTAATACATCCACCTATTTGAAACACAGGTCTCCTTGAGGTCCCCCCTTGAATTTAGCCGGACTCCTTTCCTCACAGCCTAGAAATACTGCTAGCATTGTCCTACTCCAAGGTGCCAATTCCAGATCTTTTGGCTTCGCCATCAAGCAAAATTTCTCTTGAGTTGGTTCTCTATCAACCCATCTGTACCATTTCCAACCTTCCCTATCACCATCTTTGTCTTAATCCTCCACATTCATCTAGATTTTGGGGACCAGGCTCACTGTCGTTCTCTCTAATCCAACTCATGCAGAGATTTCAAGGCCTTTGTGAATGACCCACCAACTACTGTAGTCTCATGGTTCTGTGGTCTATTCAATGGTTATGGCCTTACTTCTACTCTACTCCAGCAACCCACCTTCAATTGACATCTTGGGCCTTGTCCTCATTGGAACTAACTGAGAGATCTGGAATTTCACACATCAATCTCTTCCTCTCCAAACATACCCTCCTATTCTGCCAGTCCTCTCCTACTTTTACAAGCTTACTCTATTACTGACACCATGATGTCAGTCCCTTGATTCCTCTCATTTTTCCAACTCTATTGTTCCCCTCTTAGCATCACTTCCTTACTGTCTAGTCCAGACCCCAGGGACCTCACTTTTCTTACCCATCTACCAGCAATCTTAATATACCTACCCTTTCAATGCTCTTCAGTTGCAAGCCTGCAATTCTGGGCTCATCCACTTATCTACATTTTATACTTCTTCACCCAAGCAGGATGAGTGGTATTGAAAAAAACAATCACACAAAAGGTAAGAATTATACCTCCACAAATATAGGAATCCAGTCTTAGCTATACCCTAAAATCCTATACACTCTTTCTCAGCTTCTCTTATTTCCTTTTAAGACTATTACAGACTTTTGCTTGTTTTTTTAAGTCCCTCTCCTCACTTTCAGAAAATGGCTCTGCTAACTTCCCAGTTCACAGAGAAAGTAGAAGCTATCAGAAATGACCTTTCCTCAACTCCTCTTCCACAGTACTTCTTCCCTCCCCAATACAAGGCATCTGTTTCTACTCCTGTCAGTATATCTTTTTCCTTTGCCCTCCTTCCACTTACTGTAAATTAGTGCTTGGGACTCAACCCCCTCCTTTCTCCGTAGGGGCTGTGTTGCCTCAATTATTTCCTCTGTCCTTTTAGTTCTTGTGCTTGGTTTGCAGACTGGATCAAGCCACACACACTTAAAAAGTGAAATGCCGCCCAAAGTACCCTCTCTTGTATCTGACTCTCAGCTATTTGCCACCCTGTCTTTTCCTTCTCTTCATAGAAAAGCCTGAGAGAAAAGCTCCACTTCCTTGCCACTTCTCTTTTCTGTTGTTTTTATTTATTTATTTTAAAAGACCCATCCACTTTGTAACCCATCAGAAACCGACTTAGACCACCACCATGACTTCAAGACTGCTTTTGCTAAGTCATCAGTGTCTTCTTAATTTCCACATCCAACGGTCACTTTTCAGTATTTATCTTCCTTGATTGCTTTGCTTTATTTTCGATACTGTTAGCCACTCTCTGGAAACTCTCTTGTTGGTTTTTTATTATTCTAGTCTTTCCTGTCCCCCTCTTAATTCTCTTAGAACGTTTGTGGGCTCTTACACTTGCTTTTAAAATATTCATGTTCTCTAAGATTCCACCCTCATATCTCTTCTTTTCTGACTCTATATACCCTCCTTTGAATAATGTCTTCTGTGACCATAGCTGTAACTATCACCTGTATATTAATGACACTCAGATACAGGGAAGTGACTTTTTACGAGGGGGTTAAGATCTAAAGTCAGTGTGAAAGGCAAAAATAGAGTAGAGTAAAAATTGCCTTTGAAAAACTCCTCTAAAATACTGTATACATGATTCTGAATATATATACCATCAATCAAGAAATCCTACACAGCCAGTTTTCCCCTGCTATTGGAACAGAAGGTTGTTACTTGAGTTAAACACCAGATGAAGTTGTTGGCTTGCATTTAGGGGCTATGTTATAAGAAAAATATGGTTTTGTTTTTTTGCCAAGCACATATAGTAGAGTTAATGTAAGTTGAGTAAGTATAGGAGATACTCCACTGTATATATTTTCAGCCTGACCTCTTCCATGAGCTCTGAACTTAGACACCAAACTGTCTACTGGATATCGCCTTTTGGATATGACAAACCAGATTGTTTTAGTTAGATTTCTGAAAGCTGAAGAAATGAGATAATTCACATCCTTCTTAGCAAAGGCATTTATTGAAAGGATACAGTGATGTGACAAGGGTACAGCTCACACGTGGAGTGTTTTCACATCATTTGTGTTGTTGCTCTAATGCCAGGCAGATGTCCTCTAGGACTATACAGCTGTCCACACCCTGGTGTGGCAGCTTCAGATTGGTGGAATCTCTAGGCTAAGCATCACACAAACCAGTAACCTCCAGTTAACAGCTTTACTGAGACTAGTGGAATTCATAAGCATCTAGGAAGGCATTGTAATTCTTTATTGGTCCTTTCAAGTGCTGTACTTCACCCATTGGCTGTTACATCACCTTACAGACCATCTTCATGAGGCCGTCATGACCCATCAACCAAGTGAAATCTCAGCATTTCCCCACTGACCAGACTGAACATCTGACTATTACAGGTAGGGTGTGTGTTGTGTGTATTACGAGCCAATATCAGAGACAAGTCTATATGGCAATCAGCTGCATCTCCTTTTTATCACACACACCAAATAACAAGGTAATTAAAAGTATTATAATACGAAGTAGTCAAATATTACATCAGAAATGTAACAACACTACTCAGTTGTGGTCTGCCTCACTCCACATTTAGCATTCTAACAACATGTAATTACAATGGAGCTGGACAGCTTCCGTGGTGTCCTCTTTCTTCCTGTCATTATTCATGTTCCATATATGCCTTCTAACATGCCTTGAGTATATATAGAATAAGGATGTTTCTTCACATCCTTCTACTATCTATGCCTACGTGTTTATACCATCAGCCCCTTAATTTGAGGAAGACTGAACCATGCAAGGACATTCTCTATGGCCAACTGTGGGTTGCAGAAGGTAGGAAATTGCACATTTGAAATATCCCATTATGATCCTTTGCTGGCTATCACATTTGGGCTTTTGTCCCTTTGAAGTTGACCTCTTTACCTCCATTGTTATTCTCTTAACAGAACAACAGGATATAATTTATGCCCAGATAACATTCTTTTCTTTGTGTCAAATACATATTCAGTAAAGTTAAGATTATAAATAATATGCTCCCATCTAAAATCACAGACATTGATTTTAATTATTTTTAAATTGAAGATAGTATTCTTTATTGTTATTATAAAAAGTAACATACTGGGGCAAGCCCCATGGCCAAGTGGTTAAGTTTGTGTGCTCCGCTTTGGCGGCCCAGGGTTCGCTGGGTGTCCTGTCCTAACAGCAGACCCTGGGTATCTATGTTGATCTTGTCTCATGACCCTCCTGGTGTTCCCTTCACTGGATGGTAAGTGGACAGGCTAGCAGGGGAGGACGTCTTGCGACATAGTTCCAAGGAATTTACCCTGGGGCCTAGAAGGCAAAAGGTGTTTGAACCAAAAATGTTGAAGAGTTTATGAGATTCTGTTACTTCTTCTCTATTCTCTCCCCATTGCTTTCCAAATCAATGGGTTCTGGGTATAGGATGCTGCGGATATCCTTTTGGACTCCTTTCTTTCATATAGTCCAAAGGTGTTACACATTCTTTTATCACAGATAGTTTGCTATTGATTTAGTTTCTCATTTACTTTTTCTTGGGCCTCATCCCGTCTGGGTCAAGATTTTGGTTTGCCTGGACAACCATCCTCTTATGCCTCCAAAGACCCTGGACTGCCTTTCCCTTCAGAGGTCCTTGACAGTTGTGTGAGACTTGAGACTGAAAGGCCACAGTGAGAATTTATTCCTCTGGGGTTCCTGGGTCCAAATTGCCAGACCTCTATTAAAATATAATTTTCAGAGAAAGATAAAATCATGACTTTCATATAGATACAAAAATGAAAACATGTTAAAGAATTCATTTTTCTCATATGATATGAAGGAACTGGGCAAAATGGGACAGAACTGATTTTTCCATGGGTAGGATGGGGGAGTCAATTAAAATCACTACCAGACAGGACAGAAGTTACATATCTATCAATTACTCACAACTTATAAAGAACAGAAAAATAGCTCAAAGACCGTGAACAAGGTTAGAATCTGATAACCCAGAAGGATATGCTATCCACGTGCACAGCTTTTTCTATACCCCGCAAAATAAAAGAACATAGGGCCCTCCCAACCAGTTCCAGTGGAAAAAACCAAGCATCCTTGCACTGCCAGAGTGATCCTTTCAGAACAATGAATTCCCCTGACAAATTGAAAAGATGAGGTTTAGTTCCCAAATGTCCTTGAATGCTCGAAAGATAAACATGTCCAAGAATATTAGAAAAAAGAGTAAATATCAAAATTCACTAAAATATTCCAACCTTTATTCAGACAGTTCAAGTTGGATTCAAATTAATAGACTTTACTTCTTAAAAAATTTTTCTGTTTGCAGGGGCTGGCCCCGTGGCGCAGCGGTTAAGTTCACACGTTCCACTTCTCAGTGGCCCGGGGTTTGCTGGTTCAGATCCTGGGTGTGGACATGGCACCGCTTGGCACGCCATGCTGTGGTAGGCATCCCACAGATAAAATAGAGGAAGATGGGCACGGATGTTAGCTCAGGGCCAGTCTTCTTCAGCAAAAAAAGAGGAGGACTGGCAGTAGTTAGCTCAGGGCTAATCATCCCCCCCCAAAAAAACAACAAAATTTTCTGTTTGCAGAAAATTGAGCAGAGAATTCTCACATACCCAATCACAGTTTCCCTTTTTATTAACATCTTGAATTAGTATGGTACATATGTTATAAGTGATGAATCAATATTGAGAGACTGTTGTTAACTAAAGTCCATAGTTAACATTGGAGTTCACTTTTTGTGTCGTACAGTTTATGGGTTTTGACAAATGCATAGTCATATAGCCACCATTAAAGTTTCACACATGATAGTTTCTCTGCCCTAAATGTGCCCTATGCTCCACACATTCATCCCTCCTCTCTTTGCCTCCTTCCCTCAAACTCTGGCAACCACTGATCTTTTTACTGTCTCTCTAGTTTTGCCAACTATAGTTTTTTCTCTCATTCTTTTAGGTAAGTGCTATGTACACACAGCTTCAAGATAAGATTTTTTTTTATCTCTGCCATCCAAGCAGATTACCTCCCCAACTCTCCCTTGTACATAATTTGTCTTTTCCTGAGGGCCTCCTGGAAGGTGGTGGAAGAGATCTGCCTACTACAGGCTTCAGCCGTGATAGCTATTGTCCGCCAGTATCCATTCTCTCCTTCTTCGTTTTAGTAAGACAACAATCCCACACTGTCCAGGTTTGACTGAGCCCTGGGCTACCTAACGAGAGACTGCATTCCTACCTTCCTTGTATCTTTCCGTGGCCTATGGGGTCTGAGCAGAAAGAATATGTCCAAGTGATACATACTGACAAGACTGAGAAAATAAGACATTTACCATGCAATGGTAAACTTGTGTCCCATTGCTCGACCATACTACCTAAAGGATATTGTGAATTAAGAACATAAAATAAATCCTGCAATTATCTTGTGACACAATTATACTGCATTCTAATTTTTGGTAATAAGAGTGTTCATTGGTTAAAGGAAAACACTCAGTGTAATACAGTTTGTATAACCCTATTTTGGGTTCTTTTTTTTTTCTCTTCATTTTACAGTATCTCAACAAACAAAATGCCAGAAGGCTCAACTTCTATGAGGCCCCATGGGAAACATGAACATTTAAAGTGTAATGGACAAACAGAAGCCTGTGAGTGAGAAAAAGAACGGTGAGGGAGCTGGAAAGGAAAGAGAATCAGGGGACTGCAGGTTTACGGAAGCTAAGAGAAGCAAGACTTTTTAGAAGTGACCAACATGTCCAAATGAAACAGAAAAATCCAGTAAAATAAAGGATGAGGGGCTTCCCCATGGCTGAGTGTTTGAGTTTGCAAGCTCTGCTTCGGCGGCCCAGGGTTTCGCTGGTTCCCATCTTGGGCGTGGACATGGCACCACTCATCAGGCCATGTTGAGGCTGCATCCCACACAGCACAACCAGAAGGACTCACAACTAGAATATACAACTATGTATTGGGGGAGCTTTGGGGAGAAGAAGAAAAAAGGAAGATTTGCAACAGATGTTAGCTCAGGGCCAATCTTTAAAAATAAAGAATGAAAGGGATTTAATGATTAGTAGAGCATTACTCTTAGTCTCAGTTTTTGTATCTGTAAAATGGGTATCTCATGCTGTTATCATGAGATTAAACTATGTAAAAGCTTCTGGCTTAAGGTAGGTGCTCAATAAATTTTAGCTTCTTTCCTCTCTTTATGTGATTCATTCTTTTATGTAACAAATACTTATTATTAATGAGGAATTCTGCTAGAGGCTGGGTGGGCAACGATACAGACTCCGCCATAAAGCACGCTATCGTGTTGTAGGTAAACACACAACCAGGACAGTACTATTCCTTGCCATGAGAGAGATGATGAGAGGAAGTTACCTGATTTACTTCTTTTTGTTTCTTTAGTTTTGGCAGGTAATTACGAAACTTAAAATCATCTCAAATACAAAAAAAATGTTTTGTTAACACGGTGGTGTTACTGCACGAAAACTGTTTCTAAATTAGTGAATACAATGTAAAGCAATGCATTCTTATTTTTGTATGTGAAAGCTTTAGGTTTTTAAGGTAACTGTTTGAAGTTGAAGAAGACACCCGTCCACTAAAGTTCTCACTCAGAACTCACTGCCCTGTACTTTCAAAAAAATCAAATGTATAATTTTAATTGGCAGCTATCCAATTAATTTATATCCATAGTTGCTCAAAGAGGTTTGGAAATTCTTTACTAGCAGTATCTTTTTTTTAAATGGAGTTTTAAACTACTTTATATGCAGTAAAATCTATCCCTTTTTCCAGTTTTGGCAAAGAAAACCGTGGTATAATCACTAACACAATTGACAGAAGAACATTCCATTACCCTCCCCCTCCCCCAAATTCTCTCCGGCCCCGTTTTAGTCACCCCCTTCCCCTGGTCAACACTGATCAGTGTCCTGTCCCTTTTTAAGAAAATTTTTATTTTCTTAAATAATTATAGACCTACAGGAAATTGCAAAAATACACGTGGAGCCCCCGTACCCGTCACCTAGCTTTCTCCAGTGGTGCCGTCTTACACGACTGTCCTACAGATGAAAACCATGCCTCGTATGTTTGAAGGTGGGTCTTCCCTTCACTTCTCTGCCTGTGTTTACTCTTTTCTTTTCACACAAATATAATTCCGTGTGTTAAAAGGAGCAGATACTAGTTTTCCCTCATGTGCGCTGTTACACTTTCAGTATTTCGGTTCCATCACCCCTGCGACTCCTACATCTTTCTCTGGTCTTTTCTTCCTTCCGCCGATTCCCCGTAATTGAATTCTCCTGCCATATATATATATATATATATATTACGTTTTATTTTGTTTTTCTGAGACTTGCCACAGACGGTACTATTTATTCTCGAAGTCTTAACTTCTCCCTTGGTCCTTAAGTTTGAAAGAGGGCAGTCGCGCTTGTGCTTAATTGCTGAGGTGGTTACAGTAGCTGCGCAGCGTGCGTAGGCCTGGGGCCTGGTTCTCCAGCCTCTTAGAAATGCTAGCAGCACTGCGTAGGTCAGCCCTGTCCTTGCCCCGCCCTTCCCCCACGGGTCACCCTTTTCTTTTCCAGATATTTGGCTGTTTGTTGGAGGAGAGCGTGTAGAGACCCTTGAAGCCGCCGGCATCCCCTCCCCAAGTTTCGGCCAACCCCGCGCCCCCATCAATGGCCGCCTAGGTGGTGGGCAGAGAGTACAGGCGCCGTCGGGTTCCGGGGTGAGAGGCAGGGGCGGGGCCTCGGCGGCCGCCGTCGCTGGCGGCAGGGAGGTCACGCCCCCGGGCCTGCGCACGCGGCCTGGACGTCAGCCGCCCGCGCCAGTCTGGCGCCCCGGTGCGCGGGAGGCGCGGTGCGCATGCTCGGCCTCGGTCGCTGGCGGCTGCGGCGGCGGCTGCTTCGATGAGGGAGGGTCTGGGCCCGTCTCCTGGTTGTCTCGCCGCTACCCGCCTCCGCTCCTCCTCCGCCGTCCCCTGGCTCTCGGGGCCCCTCGTTGTCCGGCCCGGGGCGGCTGGCTGGCTGGAAGCTCGCAGAGCGGTGGGCCCGGCTCCCCGGCTCCCCTCCCCCGCCCCGTCGCCCCGCCCCCGCTGGGCCGGGCGGCGGGGTGAGGGCCGCGCGGAGCCGGGTGAGTATCCCCCAGCCTCTGCCGGCCGCCGCCTCCCGCGCCGCTTCCAGCGCCGCTCTCGCCCCGCGCCTGCAGAGGGAGGGGAGGGGGACGGCCCACTGGAGCGAAAGGCCGGGCAGCGGGGCCCCGCCCGGGAAGGACAGGCCCGGGCCTGCGGGTGGCAGCGGGGCCCGCCCTCTCGGCCCGCATAGACTCGGCCTCCCGCAGTCGTTAGGGCCCCGAGGTTAAAGCCTGCGCGGGGTGGCGAGGCTTTGTCCGCGGAGCCTGGAAACAAAGGTGTTGAGTTACGGGCGACTGCAGTGGCCCACTCCCATGGCAGGGGCTGCAGGTTCATTAGGTGTCAGGAGGAATAACCTAGTATTTACAGCCAACGGTATTTTCTCCCAGATAACCTATCTTCTCATAGGATCTAAAGTCTTGAATGGGAGGGTGGGTAGAATAAGGAATAGTTATCTGATGTATAGAAACATACTTTTATGATGGTAAAAGTTAGAAACATCTCGGAAAAGCTTAGCTCCTGTCTTTCCAAGTGAAAATGGAGGCTTTTCTAACAGGCCCACCTGAGGATGCATTAGTTGTCTAGGGGACTGTGCTTCGCCTTGATATAGTATTGGTTAGGGCCCAGGCCCTGCGGTTACGTTTTTTTGTCTAATAGAGATGCAAATTATTTCTGACTAGGAGAAAAAAATACTCCTGAAGGTTGTGGTTTTATTGTCCTATTTCCAAGATTTTTATAATTTTTACCATTCAACTTGCCCCTTCGTTATGAGTGCAATAAATGTTTGCCACAGGCTCATTTCCTTTGTATGAATCATGTTTATAACTTTTTTTAAAAAAATTACAATTCGACGATGGCCTTCACTCCTTAATGGCAAAAGCTTAAGTTTGTACTTTTCAGGATTGGAAAACAGGCCCTGTGTAGTACTCCAACTACATTTCGGGACCCAAAGTAAAATCCTTCCTTGTTGCTTCTGAAGGGTCAAATATGGACAAGACGAGACGTTTACGAAATGGAAACTTGACCAAAAAAAATAAATGTTGAGCATTGAGAAATTCAAAGTAAAGTCTTGCAGTCACAAGGTTTAAAAATTGTTATTGATACTGTAATTGAGGAAACTAGTAGAAACAGTTTCCACTTGTGCTCGTCTTAAACTGGATTCCTGTGGATATAGAATGTTACGAGATTGTGTCCCCTGCCCCCTGCTTCTCCCGTCCGCTCTTCCCTTCCCCTTTATTTGGGAGAAAGTTCACTGAGATTTTGCCACATGATGAGGCAGTCAAGTTGGGCATAATGTTTTGTGACAAATTATGATTTGATAGCAGTTGCTAATGTTTATAAATTTCTCAGAAAGATACGCAGCTCCATAGGGAAAGCAAGTAGGGTAAGGTTTATATGCGAAGATTGCTTAAGACTGGGCTCGATTTGATTATTAACGTCTTTGAAGCCTAGGGATGTGTTTGGGACCCTCGAGGCAGTGTTTGAATTATAAACAAAATGAGGAAACCATATCAGCAACAAAGGGCCTTAGAGATTGGTGATTACCTGTTGAAAACAAACGTCTTCAGGGGCCAAGCAGGCTGGGTATAAAACGGTTGGGAATTAGGGGAAGGAGAAGAAACCCTGCGTTAAACCTTCCAGATTGGGGAGAATTGAGAACTCTGCAGAAGCAGAGGCTCCTCCGATGTACCCGGCACCCCAGGCCTTGATGTGCTTGGTCTCGTAGGTTTACAGGACCCAGGAAGAATACTTACGAATAGAAGTTTAGCTTTGAAATGGGAGTTATTTCGTGTAACTGTCGTGTAATAGCTTTTGGAGAAAACGTTATCATCTCTTCTGAGCTCAGGAACCCACAGTGGTTTCCTATTGCGCATTGTTTTAAATGGGACCTCTTTAGAGTTATGAGATTATTTATAAACTGCCTCCCCGACCCCATTTTCCTGTATTCCTTAATCTGTACTCTCCAGTCAGGCTCCTTACCTGTCAACTCTGCCTCATTTCAACCTGTTCCTAGGTTCACTGCTCCACCTCCCTCATCCTTTCTTGTATCGTGTCTCTACCTTTCAGTATCCTTTTATAATTCAAGGATTATCTGAAATGTGACTCCTCTAGGGCACAGGCTGTGGTTCCAGACTACCTTAGGTCCAGTTGCCACATTTAACAGCTGAGTTACCTTGGACAAATTACTTAGCCTCTCTGTCCCAATTTCCTCATCTCAAAATGAAGAAAATCGTAGTTAATAACCTCATAGGGTTGCCATTTTACTATCTTTTATTCTCTAGTGTTCTTTTTAGTTTGAATCTTTTCTTGTAAATTCAATTACAAACTGTTGAGGACAAAGACCATTGTTTACTCTTTTTAAAAAATCTCTTAAAGTTCTCCCAGGATGATTCTGTAGGTTCAGAGTAATATTTTTTCTTCCTATCTTATTATCTAGTTTTCTATTCTTTCTGTTTTCTGTTTTACTGTACGCTATTTTCTTCTAAAAGTATTTGAGGTAGCTTATAAACTATATATACTATAATGTACAAAATAAATATAAATCAGGATCATGAAAATATGAAGCTTGAATAGAAAGATGGAGTGTGTTATATTGAAATATATACCATGAAAAGTTGTACATTTGTTAAAGGTGGGCTACAGATTAAGTTCTGAGCTTCATGTTGGTTAAAGAAAGAAACATACCACTTGCTCAGGAAAAACACAGCCTCCTGGGAAGTAAATATTTCGTGAGTGAAATGCAGGTTGTGATTGAAGATTTCAAATATACACTAAGAAACCTTAGGGTTAAGTTCTCTGGACTTTGTTAAACCCTAACCTACTTCCCAGGGTTTCTCGAAGGGAGTTCAACTGACATTTTTATGGGACTATCTCCTACACCTATTTTTTTTTTTTCAAACTTAACACACTCTTTTTAGGCCCTGTCTTGCAGGAGCTCTTCCATCTTTTTTGGCATGCCTCTGTCTCCTCCTGCTAGGTCCTTATTCAAACGTCAAAATTCAGTTCTTTAAGAACTGAATTCATGTCTTCCAGACTCCCTTTTTTTGGAGTCTTCTCTGATTTTCCCAGGAAAATTTTGATACTCCTTCCTATGACAACACACACAGCAAGTGTTAGGATATTGTGAGTGCAAGTGAATGCATGAAAAGCTTGTGAAACTAAGAAGGCAACATTAATCTAGTGTAGTCTTTAATGAAGTCTTTGCGAGAAGAAAAATTTAAAGGGAATGTCTCTTCTGTTACAAAAATGTCAAACCACAGATTTTTTCCAGAATTTTTATTTATTTATTTTTTTGAGGAAGATTAGCCCTGAGCTAACATTCATTGCCAATCCTCCTCTTTTTGCTGAGGAAGACTGGCCCTGAGCTAACATCCATGCCCATCTTCCTCTACTTTATATGTGGGACGCCTGCCACAGCATGGCTTGACAAGTGATGCCATGTCCGCACCCGGGATCTGAACTGGCGAACCCTGGGCCGCCAAAGCAGAACGTGTGAACTTAACGGCTGTGCCACCAGGCCAGCCCCCAAGCACGGATTTTTTTTCCAAAAAATAACTATACTTGGTAGTATATTTTAAAAACACATTGCTCTATCATCTATATTCAGACTAGCACTGAGTCTGTAGCTTCTGATACAGTGTTGATCTTTTTGTACCTTGTTGTTTGTTGAGTATCTTTGGCCAAGGTCGTGGTTCTGGCCTGATGCGCATGTGCTAATGAGAGTTCTCCTAGTCCCTCTATTCAAAGGCAGCAAGAGAGTTTGAGCTGGTGCATCAGTTCAAATTATCACCAGTCGTGGAACAATTTCTCTTACATGCTTGTTTTATGTAAAAAAATGATAATCTTATAAAAGTAAAACACTGGTATCAGAAAGATGTCATATAAATCTGCTGTTTGAATGGGAAAAGATCCAATTGGTGAATAGGCTTGAAACTTGAGTTGAAAGATACAGTGTAGAGGTAGAGCTATGTACAGTAAATTTATTTAAAAGTTTGAATGTTTCTTCTATTCCTTACAGCTTTTACTTAATATCTACAGTGTGCCTAACTCTGTTATAGGTGCTGAGATACAAAACTGTAAGTCGGAAGTCCCCAGATGTTTAGACATTGCTCTCTTGTCTTCTGGCGTTCCTTGCCATGGAGCAGGTGGCTGAGACCAGCCTGATTTTTGTTCCTTTTGGGTGAACTGGCTTTTCTGCCTGCATCTTTTTTCTTTGTCTTTTTATTCTTTAAGATATTCTGCTAGGTTACCTGTAGGTATAGGTTCCTTTCCAACAGTTTTCTCAGAAACATAATGAATCCTCTCAATTTCTAGGAATAAATATTTTTAATCTTTTTTGTTCAGCTTAGGAACAGTTTTTCAGTTGTATGTTTGCTTATGCTTTCAGTTCAGAAATGCCAGTTATTTGAAGGTTGGCTCTGTGTTCATGTCCTGTCAATTGATATGCATTGTTTTCATCTTAGTGCTTTTTCTTCTGTTTGGAAATCCACTCACGTGTATATGCTAGAATACTAATTAGATTTTTTCCAGCTTCTATACTTCTCTTGTCTCTCAGATAGAATTTAAGTCTCTGCTGTTATTACATTTGAATTTCCTTCCAGTGTTTTTCTTTTTAATCTTACCTGTTGTTTTCTCCCTCATCTCTTGCTTTTAGAGGCTGCGTTCTTCTTTTTCCTTCTTCTTCTTCAATTGGGAATGTAAAGTAGATAATTTCTGAGTTTTTCTCCTGATTCCCAGTGTGTGCCCACTCTAGAAGCAAGCGTTTCCTCTGCATCTTTATGGTGGAGCTCGTCTTTCTTACCGTGCAAGAGCTTCATCTTGGCCCCATACTGTTACTGAACTTTTTGGTTTTCTTACCTTGACAGAAGAGGCATTTATATAAGGATGGTGTTGCTCACTCTTGCCAGAGCGAGCAGACTCCCTGCATCCACCTCACTACGCTCAGATGCTGGAGGACTCTTGCTGTCCATGTTATGTTGGAGAACAGGTTGATAGATGAAACCACATTTATAAAGGATGGATCTTTCTGTACTCAGGAAAGTCTTCCTTTCCTATTGTTTAATCTTTTGGTCCTGTGTCTATAACAAGGGGACTATTTTTATGTGATTCAAAATAGTTCATGGTTTTTTGAGTTTTTAGTGGGGAAGAGGTCATGGTGAGACGGTCCTCTTCTGAGAGCTCGCCTTGTTCCCACAGCTACCCACTGGTGACTTCACATCGCAATATGCAGTGCTCCACTTGGCTTCGCCTTCCGCTTCTGGCCTTGAACATTGTATTTTTGGGAGAGAATTGCCTTGAAAGAGAATTGCCAATGGGCATTGGAAGCCAGTAGTGGAGGGTGCACCTCAGGCACTTTATTTCTGAAGGAAATATAGAATGAGGCAGAGTGAGATACCTTCTCACTTTTTTCCTAATTGGACGTCCTGCTGCAGAGGTCATAGCAAGCAAGCATCAGCTACCAATAAAGATCCTCAATTCCAGTCCAGGTATGATGTTGTATCCGTATAAACTTTGGTTTGAGACACATGTTTCAAACTGAAGGCATGGAGGGAGCGCTGAGCCTGCTGGTCAGCGGCTGTCAAGACCAAATCGCCTTCCTCTCTTTTGCTGCTTCCCGGTGCCATTGGTTGGATTACCTGGGCGTGCCAGCAGTGTCCCGCCCAGGCTGCTAAATGCCTTGAAATCCAGGCCTTTTACTAGCCCCGTTAAAATGATCCACCGCTTGTCTCAATTTTCTGGCATGATTCCTCCTGAAATGAATCTTTGATGCTAATTAGACCTGCTTATTTTGGGGCCTTCAAATTCAGGTAGTCTTTGTGGCCTGGGCCTAGGATTCCACGTTTAAATTTGTGCCCTGTGCTTCTTTGCTCTCTAAAATTTGAGGACCACTGCCTGAGGACCCTGATAGGTAAGTGATTAAACTAATCTAGATGAATTCAAGCCAAATTGTCATACAGGTAATGGGTTGAGTTTACCTCACTAACTAGTAATTGCATGCTTTTTTAGGAAAGTGTCTAAATCTAAAGTTTTGATAACGTGGAATTGTTGCAGGGCGAGACAAATACAAAGGAAGTTGCCTACTTTTATTGGTTAAAAATGGTCTTTAATGTTTAAACATGTGCATGGCATATTCTGTGATAATCACATTTTTGTAAATGATCTTAAGTTCTGGGGAAATTTAGTTCTATTTCTTAAAGTGTTTTAGTCTCATTATGCCTCTGATACACATTGATTTATGGATTCATCAGAAGAAATATCTCTGACCAAGGGAAAAAAAAAAAGAATCAGCTCCCCACATATTAGATTAAAAATCGCATAAAAAATGTGGAGAGTGGTAGTGAAAAAAAATTGTTTTTAATTAAAAAGGATCATTTGAGCAATGATTATGCACAGCATTAGAATTCACTGGGGCTGCTTTTCTGAGAAGATGTATTTAATAGCAGCAGAATAAGCTTCTTCGCACTGTCTAGTCTGAGGGCTAACCTATAGTTTAGAAAGACTGCTTTCACTGGGTGGGGAAAAAATTATTCTCTTTCCAATCTTTAGCCTCTGCTGAAGCAGTTAAAAAAAGGTTCTGAATGAGCTTAAAAAAAATCAAACAACTGTTCAGCTAGAGTGAGACTCAAGCAAAACAGATGTATTAACAACTTATACTTTATGACATGAAAGAGCTCTCACTCATTTCTGACTGTTACTATAATCAGAAATGAGAGGTTCATTGTTTTAGCATAAGATGAGAATTGGATTAGCCTTTTTACTGAGAGTTCACCTGTATTCTGTTGTCACCTCTAGTCTGGATTTAAGATAGCTTAAGTCTGGAAACATAGGCAGTTCACATGTCTTAAGGTTTTTCATTTACAAAATAAGGATATTCTTGCCCTTATTGCTTAATAAGCTCCAGCTGTAGTTATTTCCATTTTTGCCCATATTTTCAGCCATCTTGTAAATGGAAGTTCTAGGAGTCTAATTTCTGCCTATACTAGTCTAGGAACTTGGTAGGGGCCCAGAGAGTATTACAACTTGAAAAGTGTGTATAAAAATGTTGTTTATTATATTTCCACTTGTAATGACTTGAAACACGCTTACTTGAGCAAAAAGACAATAATTTTTCAGTGATACTTCATTATGGCACATTATGCTGATTCAAATTGAGATGGATATCCTTTTAATATAGTATAGTTCCTAATTTTGTAATCAAGCCGTTTTTGTATTATTGTATGTAACATCCTTCAGCAAAGCCCAGTCCTTAGATAATTTTAAAAGTATTCAACCAAATATTAATTAGTGCTTTGATGTGCAGTCATCTTGCTCGTGGCACAGTGCTGTTAATTAGATAAACTATGGCTATTGAGTGAAATTTTATGTTTCGACTAACATTTTGAATAGTTCAGTAAACCTCAAGTAACTGGAGGGCTTAGGGAATGGAGTGTTTTTACCTAGTTCAATTTTCTTATTAAGTAAATGTTTGTTTGGAATTTCTAAAATATTCCAAAAATGTATTAGTATTCTTTATGAATTAAAGTCAATTTTTCTTTGATTTAGTATCTCTCAATATATGTAGGGTCATCAAATAGTTGGAAAACCTGTTTGTTTGCTCCCTTTTGGTCTCCCTATTCTAGTTCCGCATCCGCTCCCTGAGTGATGAAATGTGTTGATATCATCTATGTAATGTGGATTTAGAATCACTATTTCTAGGCCAAATTTCTTCCTTCTGAGTTTCAGATCTATCTTAAAATGCCTGCTGGATCTCTTCACTTGGATATCCCATAGGCATTTCAAACTCAACCTCAGTATGGCTGAACGAAACCCATCTCCCTCCCCGTACCTGCTCTTCCTTCAGGGATCTTTATCAGTCAATGCATTGTACCACCTGAGGCAAAAAGCTAGGAATCTTACTGAACCTTCTCTCTCACCTGTCCCTCACATACCAAGATCCTCCAGTTGTTGTAGTGAGTATACTATCAAAATGTGTTTTGAATCCCTCCCTCTTCCGCTCTACTGCCAATCGTTGGCTCTGTTTAGCATCATTATGTCTCTCCCAGATTATTATAGGAGCCTTTTAACTGGTCTTCATCCGGTTAGGCAAGACCTGTAGTCTCCGCTGGAAGCTGGAATGCAAATCTGATCAGTTCACTCCCACTTTCAAAACCCTTTCGAGCCCTCAGGTTCCAGGCCCTCCTGTCTTCGTTAGCACTAAATAGTTTTCCTGATACCCTCCCTCCACCTCTGTATTTCAGTCAAACAAGAGCTCTTCAGTTACCTTCAAGACCTTTTCTTATATTCAGACTTTTGTACATTCTGTTCCTTTCACCTCCCTCCTTTTGCTAAGTTAGCTCCTGTTCTTCCTTTTAGTATCTTCTTAGATATCTCTTTCTCAGCTTGTATCTGCACTAAGCACCTTATTAGCCAGAATTCTGTGTGTAACCTGGAGATCTCACATCCCTGAAACATTTGACAACTGCCTCAGCAGAAGCCCCTGCAGTCAATCGTCTATTCTGTACTTACATTCCTGTACTTGGTGCTTTCTCTTTCCAAACCTGTTCTGCCACTGTTCCCCCTGCCTCTCAGATTTTCCATTGTGGTCTCAGGAGCACACATCCACTGTAAACAAACTTACCTAAATCCTTAACCCATTATTTCCTTTATTACATTCTGTGGAGTAAGTTGTCAAAGAGTTTTCCCAGGAAAAAGAATTCTATGGTCAAAAGAGTTGGGAACTCTCAGTTGATAGTTTCCCACCACAAAGTGCATTGGAATTGAGCAATGTGAATTGAGTGGATATAGTGTGGGTTGGTTTCCACGCTTACGTCTTGCACCACGTTAACATCTTCACAGATTAGAGTTTCCATCAACTAGTTTTAAAGGAAACTTGGCTTAAGAAAAAATACTGAAGCCCTTTGGGTGGAAGCTTGTTTTTCTTCCACCCTTCAAGGCTCAAGGTATGGAGATTGCTGGCAGCGCCCACTTCCCAAGAGCCAATTTTAGGTCACTGCTTCTGCAGCATCATGCAAATATCTTTGCTCTGTTGAGGCTCTTGAAATTCAGCTCTACCAGATATGAAGGCGAGGGAGGTTCTTTCTCACACAGTGTCTCTGTCCATTGGTGGTGGCTACCTTTAGTGCCATCTTGAGAAGGAATCCAAGGCTGTGTTCTGGTTCATCAGGAATACATGTATTGGTTTATAAGTGGTTCTTCTCCATGGATTTGGCATTTTATATCATGTATCACTTACCATCTCTGTACTTTTCCATCTTCTACCATTTACCACTTGTCATTTACAAATCTCCCAGTTGGTCTTCAGTATTCTTTAAAGAGCCCTCCGCTCCCACCAACTCTTAGATAATCCTGAGTGAATACAGTGTCTCTGTAGAAAATAGCAAGCATTATAATTCTTGTAGTTTTTAAAACTTCCTGAGTCCCAGTGACCTTCATCTCCAAGCTACTTTACATACTCACTTCCATGGCCACAGCTGAGACTTCGTCAAGTTCTAAAATCACGTAGTCTTCCCCTTCTTCCACTCCCTCCTTTCACTACAGTTGTTCTTAGCCTTTTTTGATATCTCATGTTTCTTGATGCTGTCTTCTTTTCCCAGCCCCTTCAACCTTCTCTTGGCATCTTTTTCCTTCCCACCTAATCTGGACCTCTGAGCTATTCTCACTAGCATATTCTATTCCCTCTTCCATCCTTATCCTTCTACTGAATCACCCCAACAAAACTTCAACTTTGCATGCATGGTCAATGCAGTCCTGTCTGCTGGTTCCCACTCACGGTGAGCTGAGCACTGCTGAAGGCATTTACAACACTTCACTGACTGTTGCACTACAAATCAGGCTCTCTAACCTGTGCTGGGCCTTCACTTCTGACTCCTCAGCTTTAAATGCTGTCCTCTCATTTCTCTCACCAGCAATTCCAAATTTATGTAAGTTTTCTCAAACACTCTGCTTTCATCACGAGCTTCTCCCTCTCTGCAACCCATCTTGCCTGCCCCTGCATCCAAAAATCTTGTGACCTTGAGACTTTGTATGCCTTAACTTTGGGTCCCCTTTGAAAAACTTCTTTAAATTTTATATTCATCCTCAAATGCCTTTCCACCCATTGACAGGGGCAAGGAGTCTGTTGTATTGTTCAAATCCATCCTCCTGTGCTGTTGACACATCTCCTCCCAACCCCTGTAGCATATTGCTTCATCAGTCACTTTCTCTCTTTGGTATTTTAAATTTTTCCTTCTCTACCACCTCCCTTTGCTCAGCTTAGACATTTATTCAGATGTCTTTCTTTCTTAGGAAAAACAATATCCTCCCTTAAACCTGTGTGCCGCTTCTGCTACCAATTTGTATGTACTTTTCAATCAAGCTTTTTCGGAAAGTAGTCTATGGAATTTTCACTCTTTCCTTTTAGATTTCTCCTTAGCCCACAACAACCTTTCTTCTCTCACCCCGGCTGCTGAAACTGCTCACTCAGGCACCAATGGCAGCTTCATTGTCAGGTTCCATGATTGATTTCAGTCCTTTTCTTAATGGGCTTCTCTTTTGTTTTGACACTGTTGATTATTTATTAGTTATTCTTTACTCCCTTGAAACCTGCATCCCTGGGCTCCATGACACTGCCCATGCTAGGATCGCCTCCTAATGCTTGACTCCGTATTCTCCAGCTCTTGTGTTGGTTCCTCTTCCTCCAGAGCTTCCTTAAATGCTGGTGTCTGAGGTTTCTTTCTCAACCCACTGCTCTTCTCACTGTGTGTGGAGGTTCCTAAGTTTTAGGTTAAGACTCCTTAAACAATCTGTTGAAAAATTATGGAACCTCCCCTCACCCAAAAATAGATAGGCACATCCATGCAGACTTTAGTGTAAACTTTCATGATCCACCAAAAGCCATATTAAGAATCTGTGATGTGCATTCTAACTAGGTGATATTCACCCTCATGGTTTCATTTGTCTCTTTTCAACAGACGACTCCCAAATCTCTTAAATCCATCTTGGCTTCTCTCCATAATTTAAGATGCACATTCTTTTGATCTCTTTTATTGCTTGGGTCTGGATCCTCCTGAACTCTCACCCAGGCCACTGCCAGAGCTTCTAACTCGTCCCCCTGCCTTCAGGCTTGTGCCGCTCAGATCCATCCTCTGAAGAGACCTCAATGATTTATTATTCTGACCTTTTCAGCTCTGAGGTCTGATTCTCCATATCCTGTGGAAACAGTCCAAATTCTTGCATGGCACACATCCTCCCACACCATCTCTCCTTTGTAAGGGAGCCTTCTTGTGCCTACCATAATCTATGCACATCTTCATTATTGTGTATGCTTTAAATAGAAGTCCTCTTTTCTGATGCTATCAGAGTTGAGAGTTGAGCAGTTAATTGAGGAAGTTGATTAAAGCTAGAGTTGAAAAAAGGTAATATGTGTATACTTGAAACATTTTATTTCAACTTAAAGTGTTTGCCAATTTTTTCGTATATTATCAAGGCATTTTCTTTGAGTGTGGGTACGTGACTGGAATTCATTGTTCATTCTTGATGAAACTGAACCAAAATGCATCCTCTAGATGTTTGGTTTAAGTGAAAGAACTCCAGTCACTTGTGTAGGCGTCTGGGTGCAGGATCTTAGATTTTTATGATTTTTTCCCCACCAGTCTTTCACTTGTATTGTCCATACCTAGTTCAATAGTAGTTTGTTTTTCTTATGGAAACTTAGCTTTACAAAGCCTTTCCAAGGCATTAAATAATAGAAGTAACAGTTCTTTCTTTTTAACTTATATTTTATTGGTTGGGTTGAAAAGCATTTAATTGAAGTATGTATTTATAATACAAGAATGTGGTTTGTGAACATACACTCAGCTGATGGGAGCAGAGGTGCTTCATGATCAGTATGCTGTAGATATTAGTTGTTTTATAGAGGGAATTGACATTGTGTTGATTAATTTGGAAAAGTTGGTTAAATGGACGTTGGTTAAGAGAGTTTCTACTGTAATTATTTTTATTGCTTATCTCCCTTTATTACAATATGAGCTCTTACAAGGCAAGGACTGTATATTTCTTTTCATTTTTGTATATCTAACCTTCATCTATGCACAGTGCCTACTACTTAGTAGATATCCAATATTTATTTGTTGGATGAATGAACAAATGCTTGTATAGATCATACTAAATTTGAATAATCAGAAAGAACACTGGACTGGGAATCAGCTAGTATAGACAGATCGTTGGCCCTGGACCCAAACTGGGGTTTGAGTCCTTTCTCATTTGCATTCATGAACAGATTACTTTCTCTTTTTCATTTGAGGGATGAGGATAACAACAACCTTTGGGTTGTGTGATGATTAAATGGGAATATGAAGTGTCTAGCATAGTGCTTGACATAGTAAGCAGTCGATAAGTGCTAATTGTCCTGATGATGCTTTTCATGAAGGATGAGAATGAGGGAATTCACTTAGGCTGACTTTACTCATTGAGAGACTTGAACAACATAATCTGTGAGTTTCCTTCCAGCTCTAAATTCTCTTTCTAGGGGCTCGCCTCATGGCCTAGTGGCTCCACTTTGGTTGCCCGGGTTCAGTTCCTGGGCATGGACCTACACCACTTGTCGGTGGCCATGCTGTGGCAGTGACTCACATGTAAAATAGAGGAAGATTGGCACCGATGTTAGCTCAGGGTGAAACTTTCTCAGAAAAAAAAAGTAAATAAATAAAAATAAAATTCTCTTTCTGTAAACAATGTTTCATGTTTTTGACACATTTGTATAATAACTATATGGATATTCTTTGATTTGTCACATTTGTAGACTCAATAAAATAGGTAATTAAGTAGGTGATCATAACATTACACCTTGAAAAACAAATGCTTCCAGTCTTTGAACATGATTTGTTAGTGAGTTGATCTCTCTAATAAAGTGTGAAGAACAGCTCAGCTCCACTAATCACTGTCACATTATCTACATAAGAGCTGAGGTAGGAGGGAGAGAAGGAAGTTCTGAGGAGGTTGTTTGGAAGTGTTAGCTAAGAAGAAGTGAGATAAAATTAAACTCTTGAAGTTAAATTTATGGACAAACCAAACTTTTGAACCATAGATGTGTATTTGTTATAGACCAAGGTTTTAGGTTACATGTTGATTGCATGTTCTTCCTGATTAAAAATGGGGATACGGTAAGAAAGATGGAAACAAAACACTTTTTTGGAATGCCTCTGAGGTTATTTTCCATTCTACATCCCCAATTTTGGTTTGTTTAAAGAAGTAAGTGAATTAGCAGAACTCCTTTCAGTGTTCGTTCTACAGCTGATGCTAATATTTAGTTTTTGTGTTGCAGTTATCATTTAGTATGGAAGAAAATGAGTTCTTTGGAGAAAAGACATTCCAGCGTTATTGTGCAGAATTCATTAAACATTCACAGCAGATAGGTGATGGTTGGGAATGGAGAACTTCAAAGGTAAGAACAAGAATTTTTATTTCCTGTTTCAATGGAGGGTTTTTTTGGTCATGTAAAACCTCTGTAACTGAAACTAATGTATGAAAGCTAGTTTGATTTAGTGAAAGGCTTAGATTGAAAAATGTTTTAAAACAGATGTCCATTTTGTTACTTCAACTATGTATACTCATTATAATTAGGCTAATGAAGTATTATCTAGAAGAGTCCTTAGGTGACCTGCTCTAATTTAATAGATAAGAATGCTTAGCATATTAATTATCTGAATGTAAGCAGATGCTTCTGTGGTGCTGCAAGCCGTTTGTTTACACTATTAATTTTCTTAGGAAACTACTTTTGTCCAGAGAATGAAAAGATAATCCTGAAACCAAACCACGGTCAAACAATCACAAATTCTGAAATATTGAGGACTATATTAGTTGGGAATTTCTTAATAATGTAAATGCATTCCAAAACATTCTTTCTGTTGGTTCTATTCAATAATAATAATGTAAAAGGCCTATGTACTCATTTATTGCCACACATTCACTTAGTAAGCTTCTCTGCCAAAAGCTCTTTGAGTTCCTTGAAATTGCTTTCTTAGAGAATAAGTAAGTTTTCTCTACTTGACATCTTGTCGGATTCCTGAAAAAGTGATTGATCCCAATTCTCTGCTGATTGATTATTTCCTCTATCAACTCCAAGAAATGTGAACAGTTTTGAGCTGATTCCTAGGATTCAGAACTAGGCCAGGGGAATCCAGGTCTTGATTGGGTCCAGTGTCACTGGGGAGAGAAGCCATGATTTCCTCTTGGGTCATATGCCAGCTGAGCTTTGACAGGGGGCTCACGGGAGGGTTCCCAAGTGTAGGGTCAATTTCTTGTGGTGGATTTCAACCCCAGTCTCTCTGGTAGTGATTGGACAATTCATAAGACCCTATGGCATCTCCTGCTCCCAGATAACATGACCTTACCAGCACCTTTTATTAGTTTTGTTCCTGAGTACCTTATAATTGTGTTTGCTATTATGTTTAAATTTTTATTGATCTTATTTATTCTATGATTATTATTGACATAAAAGAACTGATAATTTTTGTATATTAATTTTGTAATCATTCAATTACCTTACTGAATTCTCCTTTTAGTTTTCATAGTTTTTCAGTGATTCTCTTATGTCTTCTAAGTAGAGTGAAGTCTTCTGCAAATAAGGAGTCTTTTGTTGCCTTCTTTGTAATACTTCTCTTATTATTTTATGAATTGAGTAGAAAAGTGTTAAGTAATAGTAATAACAGGTCTCCTTGTCTTCATCCTGACTAATGTTAATGCTTCTGATATAAAATGATTAAGTAAAATGCTGGTTGTTTATTCATTGAATTAATATAGGTTTCTGATCCTTTTTGATCTGTAATAATTTGTATGGTTATTCCTTGGGAAGTTGCCCTTTTCACTAGGTTTTTATAAAAAGAACTTTTCTTTTATCTAGGGCTAGAGGCAGGATAGTAGAGAGTCCTGTTACCATTTTCAGTGACCTAGTAGAAGGGAGGAGGGAAGCTCTGGGACTCTGTGTGTGTGTGTGTGTGTGTGTATATGTGTGTGTTTGTTGGGGGCATTGGGGAACCTCTCCAGGAGGGAGATTATATCTCTCAGAAATTTCTTCACTGAATTTGTTGAAACTAGTGCCCCAAGAACCAGTTTCCAGGATTTGTTTTTATTCTTGGTCAGCCTCTGTTGCAGGGATGATATGGCTAAGTCTAGCTTCTTGTTTGCTGTCACTGCCTGCTGAGTTAGGAAAGTTTCATATCCTTTGGAGTGAGAATTGCACCTCTAAGAAAGAACAGTTCTCTTTAATATAGGGATGAGCCCATAGATAGTACCAAAACAAAACAAAACACTGTTCAGAGAAAATCTCTACAGCCTTAGGGCAAGGACTGCAAACTCAGAAGTCTGTGGAGACCAGGCATGATCGTATAAATGGGTAAAGGTGCCAGGGACTAGACAATGTGGACACTGAGTCCTGTGGCCTGTGGCTGACCAGAGTGCTTGGCCTGCTGCCAGGTTGGAAACATGGGCCCGAGGGTTACCAGATCTTCCAATAAAAGTAAAAAAGATTTGGAGAGAAAAATCTCTAAATTTGTAATTGTTGGCAAGGAATTAAAAAGATGTTTTTCAAACACTGTGAGGACCAAACCCAGCATGCCAGTGGGCTGTGTGTGATGACTACTTGGGCTGGACTCTGCGCTGTATGACTATGGTTTTCACCCAGCCCTACCTCAGTGCCTGCTGAGCTGAATTGATGTCAGTTAGTAAAAGGGGCTCCAGGCAAAGCAGATGCTTCTCTTCTGAATTTTTGGGATGTTAATATTTTTGCTACTTAATTTCTACAGTCCTGTATCACTTTTTTTTCCCTGAGAAAGATTAGCCCTGAGCTAGCATCTGCTGCCAATCCTCCTCTTTTTTGCTGGGGAAGGCTGGCCCAGAGCTAACATCCGTGCCCATCTTCTTCCACTTTATATGTGGGACGCCTGCCACAGCATGGCTTGACAAGTGGTGCTAGGTCTGTACTTGAGATCCGAACTGGTGAATCCCAGGCCGCTGAAGCAGAACGTGCGAACTTAACTGCTGTGCCACTGGACCAGCCCCGAACACTTTTATGAAGGAAAATGGGACTCAGTCACTTGGTTATTTCCCTCAAACCATCCATTAGTATTATATCTCAGTCTTTTTGTGGGACTATTTGGACACAATAGCTATACTATTGTTTTACTTTTTAGGCTCCAGATATTTATTTTTATTTTATTTAAAAATAGTTGTGTTGAGGTATAATTGGCAAACAATAAACTGCACATATTTCAAGCGTACAGTTTGATAAGTTTTGACATATGTATAGACCTGTGACCCTTCACTACAATCAAGAGAGTTAACATACCCATCGCCCCCAAAAGGTTCCTTGTACACCTTTGTAATGCCTCCCTATGTCCCTCTCTTCCCCTGAAAGGGGGATTCTTTTATAAAGAATCTTGTTTATCCATATATATAGAGAGGCTCCTTTAAAGAGTACATGTAATGTCAGTCACACTTTCAGGTTTGTTCATAAGTCACTTTGGCACCATCTATTTTATTTTTTAATTTTAAAAGAATCATGACAATATTTGGAGAATTGGTATAATTCAAGTTTATAGATAAGGCAAAACATCATTTTTACTGCAAAGTTGATGAGAAAAGCAAAATGAATTCATTAAACACGTAAATAATTTAAACATTTTAAAAGAAAGAAGTTTCTTAAAGTAGTCAAAACGTTAGTCTTGATTTTTCATCTGGAAGTATGCAGAATAGGGAAAATACTTCTAAATCAATATTTTTCAGTGGGGCTGCATGCTATTGGCATCTGAGCAGGGCAGTTCTTGTTCTCCTACCCCCAACATTTCCGAACCCCTCAGGTGGATGGTACTGTCTTTGAAAGCCCTTGTTTAACGTGATGGCCTGTCAGATATTAAAAGTAGTGGTTAAGAGCATGGGCTTCAGAATTAGATTAACCCAGGTACAAATCCTTGCTCTATCATTTACTAACTGGATTTTGGACAGGTTTCTTAATGTCTCCCAAACTTCATTTTCCATATCTATAAAATAGGAATAACAATAATACTCACCTAACATGGTGGTTGTGTCTGTTAAATGAGATTTGCATGTAGGTTAAATGAGATTTGCATTCAAAGAGTGTAACACAATTTCTGGCACGTGGAATGCCATAATATGGTTATAGGTTGGTTGTTTGAAATTTTCAGTGTCTTTTGTTATTAAAAAAAATGCTATATATGAAATTGTAGTTAGGTTTTCAGACAACACTGTGAAAGTCTATTTAGCACCAAACATACTGTACTGGTCTGTAGTGTGTTATTCTGAGTTCTCAGGATAAGAAGCGGGAGCAGAAGATGGCAAATAACAATGAATACAATTGTTTGAAACATGTTAAATATCTTAAAAACCCACAAGTTTGTAATGTTAGTGGGAGAATGAGACAGAGAGACAGAGAGAAAGGGAGAACAGGAAGAGAGAGTGGAGCAGAACAGTCTCCAAACCTAACTCGTTGAACATCATAATATCATTGAGAGTATCTAGGACATCAACTTCTTGGTCTGAAAATTGTTAGTCAAGAGGAAAGAAATAAGCATTTACCCGATTTTTCCTGCATGAACTATATTTCATGGTAACCAAAAAGCCTAATTTGATAAGGGAATTTTTTTTTCTCAAAATTGCATCTAATAAACATAGAAAGGATGGTAGAATTAGAAAATCACCACTATTCAATGCCTAATAAAATGAGCTAGGCAAGAATAACCAGTGGATGAACTATAGAGGAAAGGTTGGTGGGGAATTTACAAGGGAGGGATTGAGCTATCATCACCCAAACCTAGCGGTCAATCTTGGCATTACTACAAATGGAGCTTCCAGATTCTATATACTTTCTGAAGTTTTATAACATACGTCATAGAGCACAATCTATGAAATATTCTTGCCCAAAAAGTTAAACCTGAATAGAATCAAGTAAGGAAGTCAAATGATAGAGGACCAAGTTAATTGACACCACAAAAAGCAAATAGAAAAATCCAGAAATCTAAAGGACAACTGACCCAATTTCCTTAAAAAGTTAATGATAGGGTAAAGAAGTGCAGAAGAGGACTGTGTCTGTAAATATCTGTGTAAGGACCAAGTTTCTTTTTAAAATATCATTTTGGGGCAGCGACCAGTAAGTGGTCCCAGTCCTGAAGACTAATGTGCAGCTCAGGTCATGTGTGACTCAACATGGGAGGGTGATGACCACCAGTCTGGTTCAGGGAGATGGGTCCACTGACCGTGCACTTGGATGTTTTGACAGTGTCAACTTGCTATGAAAGTTTCTGAGTCCGTACTTTCTTTTTCTGAATGTATCTTATTGACCTGTAACAAAGAGTTTGAGGATTGATAACAGTTTTTGAACTGGTAACAATTAGTTCTGGAACTGGCACCAGTTCAGGTCACACTTTGAGT